GTAAGATGGTAAGGAGCTGGACTAGTAGGAGAAAGAGAGTGGAAGAGGAGTAAGAAGATGACAGTGGAAGGTTGTGTGTGTCTGTGTGAGGAGGAGGAAAAAAAAGTAAGATGGTAAGGAGCTGGACTAGTAGGAGAAGGAGAGGGAAAGAGGAGTAAGAAGATGACAGTGTAAGGTTGTGTGTATCTGTGTGAGGAGGAGGAAGGAAGAACATGGCAAGGAGGAAGAGGAGGCATGGAGTAGCCGGAGGAAGATGGTAAGGCTATGTGTGTTTGTGTGAGGAGGAGGAAAAACATAGCTGGAGGTTAAGGATGCGGGTTACTAACACAGTCCTCAATCCTTACATCCAGGCAAGGAAGAGGACGAATCCAGAAAAACAGTCATCCTGGCGTTTGTATCATCCATCTTCTTTAGATCGACCTCCTCCTCAGCCAAAATTACACATGACTGTCGATTGGGCCAGCCCATCTGGCCCCAAAAGTATAAGTTCGGAGTTGTCCCTCCTGCGGCGGAGCACCGACGCCCGGTGGTGCTCTTCATCGTAATTTCTTTCGCTCGGGGAGTCAAACCCTTTGCAAACAACTTAGACTTTAAAAAAAAAAAAAAAAAAAAATTACAGACATAGCCCTTTAATCTTAAGTTCACGCAAGAGCGACAGTAAAAAGGAAGAAAAACTCCTTTAAGGGTCGAAAAAAAACATATATTGTTCGAGATTGGATTTTTATGGGTTCTTTTCCGACCCTTAAAGGAGTGTTTCTACCATTTTGGTGTCGTTCTTGCCTGAACTTATAGGGCTATGTCTGTAACCTTGGCTTAGGAGGAGGACGGTATAAAAAAGACGGATGAACAGGCCTACAATGACCTTTGCAAATGACATAAATGAGACAATTCAGGCAGGTTGCACCTACAATCCTAAATCCCTTTAGCAAGATAAGGAACAAAAAGAAATAAGAAAGACAAGTCCTTGACGAAAATTCCACGTCGTACATTTTGCGTTCCTTCTCTGATATTTAGAGGACTGTTTTCTTCATTTCGTTGTCTTTGTTGTTTGTATCTGAACTGCAACACTTTATCTAGAACCTTGGCGAACACTGCATGTTCTTCTCTGACCTTTCAAGGACTAGTTTTGTTTCCATTTCGCTTTCATTGCTATCTGAATCGGAACTACAGGGCTAGATCTCTAACCGTGGTTGTCAACGAAGAACACGGAAAGAAGACTGTCCTTCACAACAACGGTTACAGATATAGCCCTATAAGTCCGAATCAGACAACATTGAAAGTGAAATGGAAAAAACTAGTCCTTTAAAGGTCGGAGAAGAACATGCAGTGTTCGCCAAGGTTCTAGATAAAGTGCTACAGCTCCGATTCAGACAACAAAGACAACGAAATGAAAAAACAGTCCTCTAAAGGTCAAAGAACAATGTAAATAAATGACAGAATTACAAGAAATATGGCAACTAATTAATAAATCGTTAAATCCGAAACACCCACGCAAGGTAGAGGACGAAATGAGAAAAACAATCCTTTAAGCATTTGTGTCAAATTCCTCGTCCAATAGTACATGTTCTCCTCTGACCTTTCAAGGTCAATTTTTTTTTTATTTCGCAGTCAGTGTTGCCTGAATCGGAAGTATAAGGCTATATCTTTAACCTCGGTTATGGACGCAAAGTCATCTCGCAGTCAGTGTTGCTTGACTCCGAAGTATAGGGCTATATCTTTAGCCTCGGTTGTGGACGCACAGTTTCGTTGTACATTATTTTGAAGAACGAATAATTAGATTGTCTCTAACAAAAACTGTTTTATTTCGCCCATCGAAGGACTGTACCTTACAGCGGAACGATCAAATACAGTTCTTCTCTCTCGCTCTTTCTCTTTCTTTTTTTTTTTCTCTCTCTCTCTCTCACTCTCTCTCTCTCTCTCTCTCTCTCTCTCTCTCCTATTCTATTTCGCCCATCGAAGGACTGTACCTTACAGCGGAATGATCAAATACAGTTTCTCTCTCTCTCTCTCTCTCTGTTTGTAAATTTTTACGTTTCATACTAAGGACGATCCACACTGCAACCATGGCCTCTAAGCAACTACAACGACGCTAGACGCTGCTTTCTCTCTCTCTCTCTGTTTGTGTTTGTCTATTTGATCTCCGACCAACAACGACGCTCAACAATTGTCGTCCTTTTTGAAAAAAAAATTGCCGCTCCTGACCTTGCGGAGTTTTTCTCATAATTCGGGAATCTTGTAGCGGGGTTTTTCAAATTTTCATGGTTTGGTTTCCAAGAAATTAAATTCCGCATTTAACATAGGCGGGAACCAATGAAAGCGCAAGCGGGTGCTTGACGTTCAGAATGTGTTGTTTTACCGGGTCGCGGTTCTCCGAAATTTTGTCGGTAGCTCTCCAAAATTACAATCTTGAAGACGGCCTTCGACGGTAAATTATGAACTTTTGACGACGTTCTTGACGACGGTCACACTGGCTGGGAGGTTGAAATGATTTGTTTTACCGGAGTCCTGGCTGAGCCTCTCCGAACTTTTGTCGCTAACGGTCTGAAAATTGGACTTTTGCGAAAACCTTGGCAGAAATTTGTCAAATGTTAAAAATATTATTGACGTGATCCTTGGCAGGAATTTGTCAAATGTTTAAAATATTCTTGACGGGATCCTTGGCGGGAATATATCAAATGTTAAAAATATTTTTGACGGGATCCCAGTAGCTGGCGCTCGAAATTATTTGTTTCTCCGACAGTCCAGGCTCTCTGAAATTTTGTCGCCAACGGCTCAAGAACTCTACTTCTCTAAAATTCGTTGGCGGGAAATCCCAAATTGTCATTGATATTCTTGACGGGGGTCGCAGTAGTAAGTGTTTTCCTTTTGTTTCCATTTCGTGTTCAAGGAGTTTACCCCCGCGTTAGAGACGCTCTTCCGACCGTCCTCTGACACACTTTCTCACGCTAACACTGAGTCTTCTCTATTGTAGGTGACGCCATCGTCATTTCCAGACGCCAGACAGGTTGTCGTCTCTCCCATTCTTCCCGATTTCGTGTTCAAGGAATTTACCCCTGTGTTAGCGACGCTCTTCCGGCCATCTTCTGACGCACTTTCTCGCGCTAACACCGAGTCTTCTCCAATCTTAGTGACGCCATCGTCACTTCTACACGCCAGAGAGGTTGTCGTAACGTATCTTTCTGCCATGGATTCTTTAACCGAAACAAGTGCTCAGAGTAGTCGCAAGAGTAACCCCGTGAGATGGTTTCCAGACCTTTCACAACGCAAGAGCAGTGTTGATGCCAACTGTGTCAAGACGAAGATTGTCAGGTGGTTTCCGGACCTGCATCAATGTTGTACAAGCGGAGGGGAGAAGCAGAACCCTCTACCGAAGGTCAGTGCAAATGGTGAGAAGACCGTCGATGTCTGTTTGTTTCCGAAGTGTCCGCGATCGAGCACGACAACAAGAACGGTTATTACGCCATGCCGAGCAGCAAACACAGTGATGGGTGTCTGCGCAGCTGGCAACCCAGGGAAGCGCCAGTGCCCGAACGCTGAAGGCGAACAATCCAGAGAGAGACAATGGACATGAGCGAGAACTTTGTTGTGAAAGAAACGCTCCACGGCAGCGTGGGGCAAGAATTGCAAGACAATGGCACTGAGGAAGAGGAACCTAGTGACGACGATGAGGAGGAGGGCGAATCGAGCGACGACGATGATGATGAGGAGGAAACGAGCGAGGATGCCGATTCAGAAGACACAGACTCTGAGGATGATGAAAGGAAGAACGAGTCAGGAATTGATGTCGACATGTTCAAGAAGAGTCTATCTGGAGATCTTTTAGGAGAAGCGAAGCAGATAATAGCACAGGAGGTGAGAAAATGACTGTACAGCAAATCAAGCAAGAGTGAGAAACCTCCTTACAACTTGGGAAAGCGCGGCAGGAACGTACGTGTGTACAACAAGAAAGCTAACTACCACGTGAACATGAAGAATGTCGAACTAATTTTGAAGGAAGATTGCTGCAAGGCCAACTGTTACAAGAAGTTCACGGCGGTAGATGTTTTTTACAAGCGTGAAGAATTTTGGGCGATGAAACAACCTGAGCAACTCAACTTCTTTCTCGCAGAGATGAGGGCTGCGTCGTACTTTTCGGATGAGGGAGATTTAGAGGTGTTAAGAGTGACATTCAACGGCGTAAAGGTTTGCACAAAAGCGTGGGGAAAGCTGTACGGATGCTCGACTACATGTGTTGCAAAGATACACAAAAAATTCTTAGAAGGAATGGTGTTGTACGAGCATGCAAACAAAGGATCAGTTGGATTATCTGCTTCATCACAGCAAATTCTCGTCTGGTTGCATGAATATTTCCGATACAATATTGAGAGTATGCCAAATAGCGACCAGTTTCATTTTTCAGATACTCTACGGCGTAGAGACGTGTACGACTTCTTCAAGCGAGACTGCAAAGAGCTCTACACGAATAAGACTCTTCCTTCCCGTTCCAGATTTATGACCATTTGGAGGGTTTCTTGCCCGAAAGTTTTTATTCCTGCATTAAAGAGGTTCTCGGTCTGTTCCACATGTTTGAAATTCAAGACAGGTTGCTCACAGGCAACAAGTGCCTTCGAACGAGGTAATGACATAACCTCAGTGCTTATTTTCTTCCCCCCTGTCTTCCTTACCCTTCTTCTCTTTCTCTCTCTCACTCTCTCTCTCTCTCTCTCTCTCTCTCTCTCTCTCTCTCTCTCTCTCAGTGTTCATTCTTCGATGTTTGCCACAACGCGACTGATTGTTTTGAATTTTATCCCTATAAGTTGTTTTTGCAGAAAGTAGAGGTTGTGACTTGCACATTTACGGAAGGATTCTCATGGAAATCTTCTCCGTCTCTCCCATTTCTTCTTCTTCTTCCTCTCTCTTTCTCTCTCTCTCCAAATGTTTTTCGTGTAGAAAGAAAAATTGTCAGCGCAAACTCGGAAGGATTCTTAGGAAAGTAGAAAGTTCGGTAAAGAAATAGTTAAACGTCTTCTCTTTGTCTCAATTATAGTCCTATAACACTTTGTCTCTTATGTGTCTTCGACTTTTCAGAGTTAAAGCCCTTTAACACTTTATCTAATAATCGTCTTCATGACGTCTGCGTTGCTTTCCCCGAACTCGTTCAGTCAATCGAAACAAAAAATTTGGGGAAGAATTAATTGAAGATTCTACGACGCTTGTGGACTCACTTTTCTGAGTTAGAGCCCGGTAACACTTTGTCTAATAATCGTCTTCGACTTCTAAGAGTAAAAGCTCTTGTTATTAGTGACGTCTGCGTTGCCTTGCCCAAACTTCGAATTTTATGATGCACGAAACTTGTGGACTGGCTTTCCTGAGTTATAGGCATATAACACTTCGTCTAATCATTGCTTTCGATTTTAAGGCCCTTCATCCCGCTTTGCCTCTTTTCCTTAACATGTTTTGACAAAGTAACCGATTGTTTTATTTTTTGCGCAGAAATGTTTGGCAAGGCACTAGAGAAGCACCGGTTAATGCAAGCAGAAGAGAGACAAAAACTCAGTAAGCATCGCCACAAGGCTTCAAGTCATCCGTCAGAGTATGTCGCAATGATCATTGATGGGATGGATCAAAGCAAGACTATACTGCCATACTTCACTAGGGTTCCAAAGAATTCGAAACTAAAAGAAGGAAACTTTGTGAAAGTTCACGTGGTTGGGGCTAAGGTGCTAGGACTCTCATCGAACACCTCTGCAACTGTTTTTTTTGACAACTTCAAATCAGATTCTAATTGCATGCTAACTGTTCTTCATCGTCAGATTTCTCAACTTCCTGTACCATTTCCGAGAGTCTTGTATCTTACACTTGATAACACTTCGAAAGAGAACAAGAACAAATTTGTCTTGTCATATCTCGTGTTTTTGGTGAAAATAAAAGTGTTTAGTAAAGTTAAGTTAAACTTTCTTCTTGTAGGTCACAGGCACGAGGACATCGACCAGATGTTCAGTTGTTTCTCGAGAAAGTTGGCTGGACGTGGTGCGTTCGATCTTCCTGAGTTGCAACACGTGATTAGGGAGTCGTACAAGGTAGAACAAGATCATGGCGTGCACGTTGAGGAGATGACGGAAACAATGGACTGGAAGTTGTACGTTCAAGATCATCTACATAACGTCAATGATATCAGCTTCAACCAACATTTCCGAATCAAGCGCAACGACGACGGGGAGGTGCGCATTTGGAGCAAGCAATATCATAATTCGCAGTGGCAGCCGAACGACAGAAAAGGTCTGGACATCTTCAAGTCAGAGCCAACAGGATATGTTCAAGCTTCGTCAAAACATCCAATCCAATCTTTGGAAGCAAGATATCGACTTACTTGTCGGGGGGAGGACGAGAGGCGTGACAAGGTCGTCAGCAGTGAAGGTCATGTCTGTAATCGAAAAGCGGGAGGATCTTCGAAATTCAAGGTTGACGATGATGTACTTTCCATCGCCGCCTTGAAAGCCAACGTACATGCCCTGTTGCATTACGCTCAACCCCACAACATCGAATGGTGGAACAAGTTCATAGCAACGCAGGAAACTCTCGACCTTGAGGACACAAATCTCAAAGAGCCTTTCGCGTGACCCTCCGTAACAGCTGATGTCAGCAGAGCAGATGAAGAAGTTCCACCAACCGCTAATGGCTTCGACCAACGCTTGGATAATTTTTTCCCTCTTGAGAGACCCATCTACATCGGCGCACGCAAGAGCAAACCGTTTCGAGAGGACAGAGACAGAAAGTTGACGATCTCGAGGTCAACACTTTCATCGCATTACGAGCTTGTTCGGGGCAGGAAGAGAGAGAGGCAAACCTTACCACATTGGCAAGGTTGTCGAGCTGCTAGCAGATAAACGATTCAAAGTTGCTTGGTTCGCACAACGTGAGAAAGGAGAGGGTTACTATCCTCTGTTCAAGACAAATCCTCAAGGAAAGACTACGAGAGAGCCTTTCGAGGACGTCTACGACTGGAGCTGCGGCGTTCTTTGTTACAACTTCCAACTGAAGACAGACATGACCCTTTTCTCGCAGACCAGACAAAAGATCTCTCAGATGTTAAATTCCAGGGCAACGGTGGATGTCGACTAGGAAGACCTTCTAGGAACCGATTGATTCAGAGGTTGGCAGAGAGTCATCGAGATCGAGGTCATTTCTGCTTCCGCATTAGAGCAGGGTTCCTTTTGTCGTTGTTCAACACATTATTTGAGTTCAGTCGTTAGCGGCTTGTAAATTCTTGTAAATTTGTACAACAGTAGGTCGCAGTTCGCAGCCAGGCATGTGTGGCCAACGTTTTTGTTTTCTCGATCTTTTCCGATGTACTTTGCGGTTTTTCACTTACAATTTTGAGATCGTGTCTGGATTTCGCTGAATTTCCATGTTCTTCAACATTGAGTTTATAGGGCTATAAACAGTCTCAATTTCGCTGAATTTTCATGATGTTTAACGTTGAGTTTATAGGGCTACAAAGAGTTGACCGATTGTGGACTAAAATTATGATCTTTTTCTACTTTCCTAAAATTCTCGTTGTAGGCCTTTAAGGTCGTGTCTGAATTCCGCTGAATGTCCATGATGTTTAACATTGAGTTTATAGGGCTATAAACACTTGACCGATTGTGGACTAAAATTCTAATGTTCATGTTTCGTTCTCAAGCTTTCGTTATAGGCCTATAATTCGAAAAGTACAGTTTCCGAATTTCGAGAGAATTTTCGAGGGTCGCTTCCGAATCTCGCTACATTCGGCTCTTTTCTGCATTTGCGCAAATTCGCGTTATAGGCTAGCTTTCCCGGGGCGCCCGGGCGGGCGCGCCCGGCTGGGCGCCCCGGGCGCCACGCCCGGGTAGGGACCTCGCCCGAGGTACCCCGGGCATGAAAAAAAAACACTGAATGTTTTTTATTTTGTATTTTGGCCCGCAGGGCCTTGCTGCGCTTTCCAAGTACAGCCCAAATCCGGCCTCATTTCTTTTTTCAGGCATGTTGGTTTCCGTGTGTTTGGAGGGGGGGGAGGGGTTATGGCAGAGGGAGGAGGGAAGAGGAGGTTATGGC